ATCGCCATGTTTAGTATGGGAAACCGAAGAGTGGCTCCAAGTGCATGCCAAACCTTTGGCAGAAAGTGGTGGCGTCAAAGCAAAAGGGGAAAGACAGGACTCAGATGCACCTGAAAAACAGACGGGTGATGATGAAGATGCGATGGAAGAGTAGAATGTTTGAAAGAATTTCAGATATATTCAATCCCCGAGGTTTCGGGCACCAGCTTCCAGCCCATTTATGGCCCTAGCCTTTTTGATTTCGATTTGTAACAAAATTAGCTCCTCCAAGCGCGCTAACTTCCGTTCGTCACCCGGTCCTTGTAAAACTCTCCGTAAATCCTCTGTCTGGATGGTTTTCCCTCCACCTGCACCCGCACCAGTAATCTGTAAAAAGATATAGTATCACAAGAGGGTACATTGGAGCCAGCTCACGGTTTCATCGAGGTATTCCACTAGAATATCTTCCATGAGATCTGCAGTGTCCGCTGCCGGCGCTTCATCTCCCAAGCCATACATAATTTCCTTCACTGATTAACCGAAAGATTAGACACTTTGAGTGGCTGTTGGCTTGGCCCTTACAATCTTTCGTAAACAATCCTTTGAGCGACGTTGGCGGCTTCTTTCCCAATCTCCCTTCCGTTAGTGCTCTTGACTCTGGGATATTATCTTCTGCTAAATTTGTGTTTGAACCTGAAATAGCCTGAGCTGGTCGTCCAGCTCCCAACTTGTTTACTGCGGCTGCATGCGCGGCGAGATAGTATGGAGAAGGAGCGTATGGTCTTTGCTGAGCTCGTATTTGTTGCTGTCTAAGGGCATCTTGGTCAGGAGCATATGACATGGTTTACAAGCCTGGCTGTGGTGTGGTCCAAGGCTCTCCATTTGGACAGTTGTGTTTGTTACGATATTTATTTACTATAACATGGACTCCGCGCCTCCCGCCAAAATATCCTTCTCTTTAAAATCAAAGGCGAAACCTAAACCAACTACTTCAGTTCCAACTCAAGCATCAGCCTTTGGCTCATTTGATGAAGAAGTTGACCCACCAGCGCCGGCTCCCGCCAAACCCGGCAAGGGTGGGCCAAAACCACATGTAGCAACGCAAACTATCTTGACCAAAGCGATGAAAAAAGAGATGGAGGAGCAACAAAAGGTTGACTCCACTGTATACCAGTATGATGAGGTGTACGATCGTCTCAAGGAAGCAGAGAGACTTGCTGAAGTGGCGAGAGAGGAAGAGGCAAAGATAAGGCAGGTATTACTCATTCAATATGTTTTATATTTCTCTATTTCTGACGAGTCCAATAGCCCAAATATATAAGCAACTTACTACAAGCTGCTGATCAACGAAAACGTGACCATCTACTAGCAGAAGAAAAAATGATACAAAAGGAGCGCCAGATGGAAGGAGAAGAGTTTGCGGATAAAGAGAAGTTTGTAACACAAGCATACAAGGATCAATTGGCTGCAAACCGTCAGGAAGAAGAGGCACAGAAGCTCCGTGAAGGTCTGGCTAGATATTTCTTATAACTAGCACAAGTACTGACCAAATATCGCAGAGATGGAGAAAAAGCAAAAGAACAAATTCGGCCCAGGAATGACCTATTTCTATGAGACGCTATTAAAAGACTCGGAACAGAAACATGCCGCTGTAATGGCAGCTGCTTCGAGACCTACAATTGGACCGACGATGCCAGCATCCGAACAGAGCCTGGCCATTAGACCGCCAACAGAAGCCGGAGAGTTGTCGGACCTAGAAAAGGCAAGAAGAGCTAGGTTGGAAGGGAAAGAGGTAGAGTTGAATGACGATAACCAAATTGTCGACAAACGGGCTCTGCTCACTGCAGGCCTTAATTTGGCTGGGAAAAACACCTGGGACCCACTGGCATATAGACAAAATAGAAATCAGCAGGACGATAAACCTGTACAAACCCATACTGCTGTTGGCTCAGCGGCTTCACGTCGTGAAATTGACGCACGCCGGAGAAAAGAAGTGGAGTCCCAAATGACAGAAGAGAAGGAAAGGAGGGTTCGAGAAAAGGAAAAGGAGGAAGAAGAGGCCCGTATGCGAGCTGTGAAAAGGAAAAATGATGATGAGGCGGTCATGAGTGCGAGAGAAAGGTACCTAGAGCGGAAGAGGCGAAAACTGGAGGAACCTCCTCCAGAGGAGGAATAACAGACCAAGGTCATCTACCGGAGTTAATCTTCCCTTTCGAATGTAACCATCAGGAGTAAAGTATATATCTATGATTGGTGTATTGTACGTCATAGCAAGCAAGGTCAACGTCCAATTCGGAACTTGCTCCTATCCACTTCTGTTCATGCCTCGTTCCTCGAAGCAAACTAATATCGGTGATTTTTATACGGGCTCGAAAGCTTCTGATAAAGGCAAAAAAAGACGTGACAAAGAACCAAAAACCCCGATCAAGCTCAAAAAAAGCAAACAGGCGCCCATCATTGAGATCGAGGATTCGGATGAGGAAGACGACTTGAGGAATGTTAGGCTTCAACCAAGTTCACCGCCACTAACATCACCGACACTCATACCTGACGAGCAAACCAGTGAGGAGGAAGAGGAGCCACCTATTGAGCAGACACCTTTGGCAAAGAGTCAACGGCGCAAGGCTGCTGGTCGAGTGTCAGACCTTGATACATCTGACAGTGACGAAAATGTGCCACTAAACTTGGCGAATTCTAAAAGGAAACGTCTGTTGTCAGAGGACTCAGAGGGCGGACAACCAAAGAAGAAGCGCGTTCTTAAGAGGGGTCTGAGACCGAACAGAGAGGAGAAAGAAGTTTTGGATGATTTGGATAAAAATGGTACGGCTATATTTGACCATCACTGTCCTCGTCGATTGTATGGACACTTTCTTGGTCAGAATCCTCCTCATTTGACGCGGATTGTGATGACGGGAGAGGTGACATGCGGAGCCGCTCGCCTTAATGAAACATTAGATTTACTCCCCGAAGGCAGACCTATCTTACTTACGTCTTCTCTTCTCTAGGTTCTTGGAGAACTCTGACCTTTTATTGAGCAAGCGCAAACGCGGCTCGAGTATTACTATACCGATTAGAAAAGGAATTATGGTCAAATATAGCCGTACCATTTTTATCCAAATCATCCAAAACTTCTTTCTCCTCTCTGTTCGGTCTCAGACCCCTCTTAAGAACGCGCTTCTTCTTTGGTTGTCCGCCCTCTGAGTCCTCTGACAACAGACGTTTCCTTTTAGAATTCGCCAAGTTTAGTGGCACATTTTCGTCACTGTCAGATGTATCAAGGTCTGACACTCGACCAGCAGCCTTGCGCCGTTGACTCTTTGCCAAAGGTGTCTGCTCAATAGGTGGCTCCTCTTCCTCCTCACTGGTTTGCTCGTCAGGTATGAGTGTCGGTGATGTTAGTGGCGGTGAACTTGGTTGAAGCCTAACATTCCTCAAGTCGTCTTCCTCATCCGAATCCTCGATCTCAATGATGGGCGCCTGTTTGCTTTTTTTGAGCTTGATCGGGGTTTTTGGTTCTTTGTCACGTCTTTTTTTGCCTTTATCAGAAGCTTTCGAGCCCGTATAAAAATCACCGATATTAGTTTGCTTCGAGGAACGAGGCATGAACAGAAGTGGATAGGAGCAAGTTCCGAATTGGACGTTGACCTTGCTTGCTATGACGTACAATACACCAATCATAGATATATACTTTACTCCTGATGGTTACATTCGAAAGGGAAGATTAACTCCGGTAGATGACCTTGGTCTGTTATTCCTCCTCTGGAGGAGGTTCCTCCAGTTTTCGCCTCTTCCGCTCTAGGTACCTTTCTCTCGCACTCATGACCGCCTCATCATCATTTTTCCTTTTCACAGCTCGCATACGGGCCTCTTCTTCCTCCTTTTCCTTTTCTCGAACCCTCCTTTCCTTCTCTTCTGTCATTTGGGACTCCACTTCTTTTCTCCGGCGTGCGTCAATTTCACGACGTGAAGCCGCTGAGCCAACAGCAGTATGGGTTTGTACAGGTTTATCGTCCTGCTGATTTCTATTTTGTCTATATGCCAGTGGGTCCCAGGTGTTTTTCCCAGCCAAATTAAGGCCTGCAGTGAGCAGAGCCCGTTTGTCGACAATTTGGTTATCGTCATTCAACTCTACCTCTTTCCCTTCCAACCTAGCTCTTCTTGCCTTTTCTAGGTCCGACAACTCTCCGGCTTCTGTTGGCGGTCTAATGGCCAGGCTCTGTTCGGATGCTGGCATCGTCGGTCCAATTGTAGGTCTCGAAGCAGCTGCCATTACAGCGGCATGTTTCTGTTCCGAGTCTTTTAATAGCGTCTCATAGAAATAGGTCATTCCTGGGCCGAATTTGTTCTTTTGCTTTTTCTCCATCTCTGCGATATTTGGTCAGTACTTGTGCTAGTTATAAGAAATATCTAGCCAGACCTTCACGGAGCTTCTGTGCCTCTTCTTCCTGACGGTTTGCAGCCAATTGATCCTTGTATGCTTGTGTTACAAACTTCTCTTTATCCGCAAACTCTTCTCCTTCCATCTGGCGCTCCTTTTGTATCATTTTTTCTTCTGCTAGTAGATGGTCACGTTTTCGTTGATCAGCAGCTTGTAGTAAGTTGCTTATATATTTGGGCTATTGGACTCGTCAGAAATAGAGAAATATAAAACATATTGAATGAGTAATACCTGCCTTATCTTTGCCTCTTCCTCTCTCGCCACTTCAGCAAGTCTCTCTGCTTCCTTGAGACGATCGTACACCTCATCATACTGGTATACAGTGGAGTCAACCTTTTGTTGCTCCTCCATCTCTTTTTTCATCGCTTTGGTCAAGATAGTTTGCGTTGCTACATGTGGTTTTGGCCCACCCTTGCCGGGTTTGGCGGGAGCCGGCGCTGGTGGGTCAACTTCTTCATCAAATGAGCCAAAGGCTGATGCTTGAGTTGGAACTGAAGTAGTTGGTTTAGGTTTCGCCTTTGATTTTAAAGAGAAGGATATTTTGGCGGGAGGCGCGGAGTCCATGTTATAGTAAATAAATATCGTAACAAACACAACTGTCCAAATGGAGAGCCTTGGACCACACCACAGCCAGGCTTGTAAACCATGTCATATGCTCCTGACCAAGATGCCCTTAGACAGCAACAAATACGAGCTCAGCAAAGACCATACGCTCCTTCTCCATACTATCTCGCCGCGCATGCAGCCGCAGTAAACAAGTTGGGAGCTGGACGACCAGCTCAGGCTATTTCAGGTTCAAACACAAATTTAGCAGAAGATAATATCCCAGAGTCAAGAGCACTAACGGAAGGGAGATTGGGAAAGAAGCCGCCAACGTCGCTCAAAGGATTGTTTACGAAAGATTGTAAGGGCCAAGCCAACAGCCACTCAAAGTGTCTAATCTTTCGGTTAATCAGTGAAGGAAATTATGTATGGCTTGGGAGATGAAGCGCCGGCAGCGGACACTGCAGATCTCATGGAAGATATTCTAGTGGAATACCTCGATGAAACCGTGAGCTGGCTCCAATGTACCCTCTTGTGATACTATATCTTTTTACAGATTACTGGTGCGGGTGCAGGTGGAGGGAAAACCATCCAGACAGAGGATTTACGGAGAGTTTTACAAGGACCGGGTGACGAACGGAAGTTAGCGCGCTTGGAGGAGCTAATTTTGTTACAAATCGAAATCAAAAAGGCTAGGGCCATAAATGGGCTGGAAGCTGGTGCCCGAAACCTCGGGGATTGAATATATCTGAAATTCTTTCAAACATTCTACTCTTCCATCGCATCTTCATCATCACCCGTCTGTTTTTCAGGTGCATCTGAGTCCTGTCTTTCCCCTTTTGCTTTGACGCCACCACTTTCTGCCAAAGGTTTGGCATGCACTTGGAGCCACTCTTCGGTTTCCCATACTAAACATGGCGAT